TCCTGCAATGGCACTGTGGACCAACCATGGCAGCTTAATGCGCAGGTAGACGTGCACCAGATGAATACGACACTCACAAACACAGAAAATCTCCAAAATGCCTGATTGGACCCCTCTGTTTTTGTCTCTAATTTTTTCACTGTCTCTTTCGTACAGGGCTGCCAGGTGAAGCTGGAGACGAGCTTACAGTTTGTGCTGAGTTTTATCATCTGGGTGTCGCCAGTGGTTTTTCTGGTGGAGGTACGAAAGACTTCATAACATTTTCTGACAGTTTTCCAGGAATGAAACACTGATAATAAAAAAAAAAAAAACGTTTGGTACTTAAGGTCGGGGGTTCCTCAAAGAGTAAATTTGGTAGTGAGCGACAGGGCTGCAGCTGCAAAACAGGCTTTCGGGGCAAGTTCACGACATCAACTTACATCTACTAAAAGTGCTTGTATTTGTCACTGACATGTTCAGGTTATTTTAAGTGTCTGACAACATCATGGGAAAGATCCCTACCTAGATAGGCGGTTCAGTTAAAGAGTAAGATCCTGTTTGTTTAACCAGAAACAGCCATGAAATCACCATCACCAAACCTACCAGACTCCATTGAAATAAACGATAATTTTATCATCGTAAAATACACTTCATTCAAAGTCAGGAGAAACTAAAAAAAACTCACGAAAACCATCTTGGTTCATCTTTCCACTGTTCCAACAGTCACCAACTCAGGTTTGGTTGAAATAAACTCTAAATTCACCCACTTAGATATGATAAAATTAGGGTTTATTAAATGTAGTCTGGTGAGTTGGCAATTTGGAGCTGTTTCTGGTTAAACTTCATTCAAAAGGATTTTTTTTCTCTTTGGGGTTCTTGCGTAAGATGCCAGACACTTACAATGATAATCTGAGTCTGTCAGTGTCAAAAGCAAACACTTAAAGTGGATGTAAATTGAGGGTAGACAAATGCCCCATGCAGTTACACTGCAGCGTGTTTCCATATTGCTGACTGCAGCACTCTTGCTCATACTTGACCAATGCCAAAACTGCCACGTCACTTAGACACACAATCACAGGAAAATAGGGTCCAGATTAAAAAAACTGTTACCCTTTACCCAAGTTACCCTTTAAGGCTGCATTCAATAATTCAAAATTCATTATTCTCATAAAGAGTATTTCTGCTCTTTACCTGGTAAATACTGGAGACACAAAGCGTTTAAGGACTGCTGGTGGTCGGAATAATTAGATTACATTGTTCTTTTCATTACAAAACAATATCGTGCACACATTTTAATTGATTGCACGCTGCAGTACTTTGTAGTGTTAAGTTTTAGAAGTTAATTATTCAGCATTGTTTAATTTGTCTGTTAATCAGAGTACTTTTCTCCTTTCTGTTCTCTTGTCATGCAGGTTGTTTTGTTTGTGACGGTGGGACAGCTGATGATGGACCAGCCTTTAATGCATTATCAAATACTGGGCAAAAACTGAAAAAAAAAAAAAACTGTGACAGATGGGACAGCGCCGTACTTTGCACTGATACTTTAATGCTATATAGTATGTACTTCTACGATATGAATGTGCAGCAGTTATTGGGATTGTTGTTAGAATAATTATTCCTGAGCTGCAGACTTCTCATCTCTCTACTACTACCTATAAATACAGGTTTACTCCAGTACACTACAAAACATGTGACATAAAGGTGATGGAAGATATGTTGTTTTGCAGTTGTTGGTATTTCTGACATTCTATTGCTTTTAAAGGTACTGTTGCACCTTTTAGTATAGAGTCATGATGTTGTATGTTCCTGCAGAGTGGAAATAAAAGGGACAAGATTCTTAGCAATGTGCCGCATCTTTCTCTTTAGTGAATACACACACACACACAATTTCCAAAGGGACAGTGAACTTAAACTAAACCTCATTTCCTTGCACTGTGCCTCTGGTTATACTTGCATTGCATACTTGATTATCTGAGTACTTGCCCCTTGTATGTACCACATTTAATGCCCCATTCTGCATATCCTAGACTCACTACATTGTCCCTAAAGTTAGACCACTTCTGCGAATACTACAATGTGTATGGTTGCATATCACACCTGTACCTCAACACACTGATCAACTAAAATCCTCATCCAGTATACATAGTTATTATGTTTGGGGTCAATTTAACAATGTTAAGTATCTGTCAAGTCCTGTCTAAAATTCTGTGCAGCTCCCGAATTGAAAAGAAGGAGTCATCGACTCAGAGATGTAACTGGATTTCACTCAAATGATGAAGCAACTTTTCCCTTTTCTTCCTTTTTTTTTTTAGTTTGAAGGTGCAGTAATTCAGTTTAGCAGTCTACTTTGGATGATTTCAGTTCAGCCATAAGTTCATTCAGGTGAAAAACCTTCAACAAAGCAAAGAAACACCACAGAAAAAGAAAAATGTTAAATACTATACATGATGTATGTTACTGCATATACACATGTGACATTAGATAAATGTAAACAAGTGGCAAAATGAATAAATAAACACCATTATAAATATTTGGACCCATTAAAGTGCCAAATTTTAACTTAAATTATATTAAATGCAAATAAAGTGACCTTTAGCTGCTTCATATCAATTGCAGTATAATTTGTCATGCATTTTAACATTTAATGTATTTTAACATTTATAATTGTAAATACCTAAACATTTTAGATCATACTTATTTATAATAGTTATTTACCATATTTATTTGAATTAATATCAAATTAAATTAGGGATATTTTTAAATTATGCAATGCTTTAACTCTACAATATTTTTTAATGTGCAAAGTTTTTTTAAATATGAAATGTTTTTAAGAAATGTTTTACCCATTCATGAATTACAATAAAGACTAAAACACAGTACAATTAGCATTTTAATCATCCATAGCTTCTTAAAGGCCCAGTGCGTAGGATTTAGGGCCATCTATTGGCAGAAATGGTATGCAATATTTTCATTATTTTATAATCACCTGAAACTAAGAATCATTATGTTTTCGTTATATAATAAATTATGGAGCGGGTCCTCTTCCATGGAGTTCATGCTATTCTACAACAGCCCAAATGAGCAAATTAAACACCGGCTCTAGATAGGGTCAATTGCATTTTTGCATTCACTATAGTTTTCCTACACTCTGGGCATGTGGGAGAAGTCAGTTCTGTGACCTCACAGCTAGATGCCACTAAATCCTACACTGGATCTCTAAAAGTGGTAGCTGTTGCCATCTTCATTAACAAAAAACCTTGTGTAATGAATTCAGTTTGTGATTCTCCACTTAATTATAGGGCCTACGCATGTAGCCTACGTCGTTGTGAGCATTAGGCCCGTTTCCACCGCAGGAACTTCGGGGTAATTTTACGGGGCCGTTGGTGCGTGTCTCCTCCGCAGGAACCACCCCCCGAAGGACAGAGTTCCGGAACTTTTACGGGGGCTAAACAAGTCCCTGCCTCGGAGTAGGTACTCAGAACAGCCCAGAAAAACTCCTGGCTGGGAATTGGGAATTAATTGGTGCTGATTAGATATACTCAAGGAGGAATGTGACGTCAACAGAAAGCAACAAAATAGCCGGCATTTTTAAAACTCAGCAGACGAGGATTAGTTCGTTCATATAGCTTCCTCCGCCATGTAAAAAAAACTCACTAAATGGCCCGTGAAAAAAATATTCTTTCCAGCAGATATCTTAGTTACAACATGATTGAGCTAGCAAAGCAGTTTTGTGTTGATATGTGTGGTAGTTATTCAGTTTTGGGAAATCACGATGTCTAGAAAGCATCAGTGGCTGCCGCTGACAGGGACAGCTAACAGCAGCAGCAAAGCTAACATCAGGACATCATCTGTTAAAAGCCTCCCGTTGTCGGATACGACATGAAACTACTCCAGTTAGCTCAATCATGTTGTAACTAAGACATCCGCTGGATTTTTTTTTTTTTCACGGGCCATTTAGTGAGTTATTACAGACACCGCTAAGGGCTATCAGCTAACGGCGTCCCTACGTCGCCCCGGTAAATGGTCGCGCAACGATTACGTCACATCCAGAGCCCGTAACTTTACAGGAACCTTCCTCCTACTCCGCTCTCTCAGTGGAGACACGGCGGTTGAGAGGGCCGAGCGAGAGGACGTTCCTGTAGTAGTTCCTGCCCCCCAAATAGTACCAGGAACTTCTTCAGTGGAAATGGGCCTATTTATACATGTGCGGTGGTCTGTCTTTGTCAATCTGCAGTTACACCTCCAAAACACTAGTAGGTGACAGGTTGTTTGTTAAGTGCTGTAAGATTTAGTTGATTAAAAACACACCCAAAACACACATTAAACATGGCTTAATTGCAACAATTTCAAACACAAGTAAACAAATCAGCTTCACTGTAACTCCCAGCATTCACAGACAAAGCACTTGTCTTTATCTGGACACATTTTCCCCCACTAATACAACATGCTAATGAATTTAGCACAAGCCTACGGCATTTTACATTGTATAAACTAGCCTAGCGGCCAGCGATCTTTTCCTCTACTCATATGAAGCCAGGGACAACAGCAACATTTAACAAAGGTAACGTTACATAATTTGGCTCTGTTACAACTCACAAGGTTCACCGACAAAACAACTGTCATACTAAACATGTTTTCCAAACAAATATAACACGCTAACTTTATTAGCACAAGCCTGGACAGTGTAAACTCTATGACCAATGTGTTATTTGTGTTGCAGCAACTTTTTTTCACTTTAAGCTTACACCACTAAGCCCAAAGGCATTTTGCTGCAGAAAATGTAAAGCATATCTGATGTGTCTGTTACTGCATGGTTTATGCTAATTGATCAGTATATATATCCAGTTTTGTTTGTCTACATTAGATCACAATGTAATTGCATCAACACTAATAGCATCATTATTTTGGTTTAACTGGTGTGAACTCCAGTGTTGTGTCAGCAGCACACCATTTGGCTCAAAAGCTGCGTGTTGACCACGCTGTCTCTTCTGCAGAGGCGTGGCTGGACGCGAGTGGGCGTGGTGGATTTGGTCACGTAGCTCCTTCCTCGGTTTCTTCGCTACGTGAGGCTGACTTGGAGGGAAGTGAACGTCGCTAAGAAAGGACAAAAATAGGAGAAGGGAGCAGAAACAACAACTACCCACAAAAGCTGGTAATGCTTAAAATGTTGAGAAATGTTTCCCGAAGCTTCTCGGCTGCATGCGATGATATTTCGGTGTAATGACTGCCATGCTGATCTCGCGGCCTTTGGAGCCGTTGGTTAGCTAGCGGTGGCTAACGTTAGCCGCCGGGGCCTGTTAGCAGGCCGCTGGGGTTTAGGCGCGGGGACAGAAATGCATTCAAGCGACGCTCCCCAAAATAGGGGCTCGGTGCTTTATGTTAGCTAACCGACGAGAGACTGCCACGTAGTACGTCCTGTTTAACTATGAAATGGTAGTGAGTTCACTCTAAGCGGTGAAGTGTAGATTAATTATGCAATGTGCTGTTTTTGTGGAACATCGTTGGGGCAGTGTTTACTCTTCTCATCAGGGGAGGGAGCGAGCATGCAACTGGCTAACATGCTAATGCTAACAGTGCTAATGAGGCCTCTGCACGTTTTCGAGTTGGAGATATATGCGTGAATTGCTGAGCTCTTGCTTGTAATTAAAAAAAAAACACTGTTCATTACTAAAACGTATGTAGTGGTTGCAGAAGACAATGTATAACTTCTCCTGTAGTATTGTCATGGTAGACATCATTAATGGCTTAATCTGTGAAGCTAACCTGAAGGCAATGTCGCCCATTTGCTGCACTGCCAAGTGCTGTAGAAATATCAGCTGCTGTCTCAGTATGAGCTACCAACGTTGCAAGTATTAGAGAGAAGGTGCTCATCCATGGAAAGTAGGTCAAGTTGTGACACACTAGCTGATGTTTCCGCCATACTTTGCAGTTTAAATACTATGAAGTCTGACCCACACAAATACCACAGCTCCAAACTGACACGCCTCTTTCCGCTGGATATTAAACAGAATACTATCACACAAGACTAGTTTTCCATTAGATGTACTGATACTCATTACTCAAAAATGTAGGACTATCAAGTGAGTAACGTTAATTAAACTGGGTTTATTGTCTCGAGTCACTAACAACAGCTGCAAAGAGACTTGAATCATTAATATTTTAATTTTCATAAAATTGGCCACGGTTGTGCAGATCCAACAATGTCTGTTTTTTTTTTTTTCTCCTGACAAGTTTAATGAGGAGGTTACCATCCCTTATGATCACACTAGTTACATCAGCAACATTTGATATGACCTTTAAATTAAAAAAACTCTGAACAGCCAAAAAAGCAGGGCGTCTGCAGGTCCTTACAATGCCTTAAATTCAATACAATAAGGCCTTAAATGACATTAAATAGTCTTAAATTTGAACTTGTGAGGTCTTGACTACTACAAACGTATCTAATTCTATTCATCCATGTTTTTAAATTTCTTTTCTTGAAAACGAGTGAAGCCTTTGTATGTAAAAGTCCACAATTCTGATTTTACAAATCTTTAAAGAACTATAATACTGTTATTTTACTTCATACTTGCACTTACCTGTTGGCAAAATGTAGATTGCCTCAAGTCACTCTAATAACCTTATTCCTACAGAACATATACCCCTGTGCACAGCTACACATATGCTACTTGCCTGCAATGGTTACCTGTGATGCTTAAATATGTTAAACATTATTTGTCCTAAAATCAGTCCCAAATTTGGTCAAAAGGTGTCTTGAACAGGTCTAAAAAGCATTGTATTTAACTGTCTGATACCTGTAGACATCCTGAAAAGGCGCCTTCGCATTGCTGGAGGTGTGAGAGGAAATAGCTGGCCACCTCCTGTGTATGTCCTGTTTTTTATCCAATTTAACGATTACATTAGACTGCCCACCTTGTTTAGCTGAACTGGCTAAAGCTATGATGCACAAAAGTCATTACTGTGTAGATCATAAAAGCTGGCATTAGCTGCCCAGTTACATGATCCACAGTGTTTACAAAAAAATCAGTAGCAGCTGCCAACAGATATGACTCATTATTGCAGCAAGATTGTAAATGACAAGTTCTCAAGCTCTGTACGCCCATCAGCATGCAAGGAATTATATAAGCATGCAATAATACACACACTGATCTTTATTAAAAGACACCAGTAGTAATCTGCACCAAACTTTTCCCAGTAAAACACAATTTAAAGGTACCGCTCAAATACAATAGCCTTTTAAAGCCATATAATAATTATCTGGCTGTCTGCCCAGCTTCATTGTTGAATTTTTGTTGATTTCCCCCCTGAACAGTTGAGAGCCACGTGGAGCTTTTACACACATTCCTGGTGATGTTTTTGCTTCTTTGAAATTACAGTTGATTGTTACCCGTCTGGTTATAAAATGTGTGTCCTCCTAATGTTATGTTCTTCAGCCAGCATGTTTGCTCACTGCCACGTTGACCAAGTTGTTTGATTTTTGTCTTCAGCCTCAGGAGCAGTGAAGTGTCTTCATGGCAGTTCGTCGAGGACACATTAAGTACTTGAAAGTGAGTATGAGATCTCGGCTCTCATTTCAAACAGCACTGTGGTCTGTCACATTATCAGCTGAATGTTAGTGGTACGGTCAGATATTATCAGGGTTGCGGGTCTTAATATAGATTTAAATGCCAAGAAATTTGGCTGCAGGAAATGTATAGGCTCTGAAGCTTTACTCCTTACTGAAATTTGGACACAATCTTGTTTTAAATGTGTGTAAATCATGTCAAGACTGTACACAGTGATCTGTTTTTACTTAACTGGAGCTAATGATTGCATATTTGAAATGAGATGGCATTAAGAGATATCAAAAACACTCGTGCATGCCAGCTCCCACTAGCTATGCCCATGTTTACTGGTTTAATACAGGCCTCTCATTCATCCTCTCAGGCAGTGTATCTTACCCACCAGAATACACAATCACAGCCCTTCTCTTGCATGAATGGACCTCTGTCAGGTTGACCGCTACTAGACCGGTTCCCTTTTCAGGCCTGATCCCGTTTCAGCCACCAGCGAATGTGACCACCAGGTCACGCTCTGCTAAACAGACAGCGGAAGCAACTTTTTAAAAAAAAAAAAAAAAAAAAGTTTTTTGAAGTCAGTCCATTCTTGTTGTGGGCACTTCACATTGTTGACCAAACTAATCTCAGACCCTTTCAAATGGTTATCAGACTAACAGACTGTCATGTGACTGAGGTCATCTGGGTGGGAAAGAGTTACTCAGCTACTTTGCAAACTTAAAACCTGTGTGTGTGTGTGTGTGTGTGTGTGTGTGTGTCCTCTACATGACCTTCCATTGTCTAAATTTCAAACTGGCTTAGTTTTAACTACGAAATTGAGACCAGTTTGCAGATTAAATCCAGTCACATACTTGTGCCATGTAATCAGTTTCCTTCATGTGGCGTTCAAAGATTTTAACCCCTGGTTTTCCACTTCACTGAAAACGAGAGCAGCATTCAATCAAAGAAAATGTTGGTCCGCTTAAATACTACCTACTTCTCAAGCAGTTGATTGGTCCATAGAGGGGAAAAAAAACATTATCTCTAGGTTAACCATATCAGCCACAGTGCAAAGCATTTTTTTTTTCTCCCTGTCATAGGGCTCGACATGAGCACTGGCCTAGGGCATGTTAACTCTGTGTTCAGGCAAGTAGCATGCCTCGAGTGACAAATCAATGTGATGTCCACAGTTCTGTTACCCGAAAATAAACTGCACACTGTAACACTTCTCCACCTGAGCTGCGTGTGCGAGTCCGTCCCACCACTAAGTGTTTTACAGGACTGATGAGATAAACTTGACATACTGGACACTATAGACGTTAACTCCTGGGTTGACGATGTCATTTTCAGCATAATGTCACTCATGTTTTAATATCTCTGTAAAGCTGCATGCAAGAAAGAGACTTACTGTTTTTAGCCCAGAAGCTAGCATTAGCCATCCCACCACTTCAACAAGGGCTTCGGTGTGATCATATTCCTTTCAGAAGCTTTTTAATCCAGCCTTGAACAGCAGTGTCTTTTTTGGAGACTTAGCAAAATAAATACATAGTGATAAAACCCGCCAAAATCCATAGTGATAAAATCCGTCACTTAATGTCTTCTCTGATTATCTGTTTTTCTGATTAAAAATGCTAGTTCTAAAATGTTTAACTTTAGGTATAACGCTGCGCTTGTCACTGTCGCCAGCCGCCCATTCACAGTGGAGAAGGGTTGACAAATACCCTCAAGACCAAGCGTCACAGAGGATGAAAATTTGGTTGAACAAGAGCGTAACGACCAACCGGCCAGAAGTTTACAGTCTTATTGAAAACTGTAATAAACAACACAGACACCCTCAACCCTTTTTGACTGGGAATTATGTAACTTAAGTTGAAATTGTGTTTTAATAGAACGAGAACTGCAAGGAGAGGAAAAGGGGGCGAGACTGTAGCTGCATGAGGATGTGAGAGGTGGCGCTAAACCACCAAATCGCTGTGATATGTTAATTTTCACTGCATTAATAAAGAATCCATGCTGTCACAGCCCTACTGTCCATGAGTTTAACAGCTAATTGATTCAGCCATCGTTCTGCCTACCCTGCGTACTTACCTTGCTTTGTGTTTTTCCACCCACCTGGCTGACCTGCAGGAGGTGTATGACATGTCGAACGGTTATGAAGACCACATGGGAGGGGACGAGGGGAAGGACGCCAAGACCAACCTGATAGTGAACTACCTGCCTCAGAGCATGACGCAGGATGAGCTGCGGAGCCTCTTCACCAGCATCGGGGAGGTGGAGTCTGCCAAGCTGATTCGAGACAAAGTCGCAGGTATGCTACTCTCTGAAATGATAAGACCTGTGACAGACCAGATGACGCTTAAAGGCCAGATTTTGTTTTAAATGGAAACGGATTTGTGTTACAACCTCGGAAAATATCAGTGGTGGTTCAGCTTTATGACATAAAGAATATTTTGGTCTATCGTAGATTTACAAATGACCTTTTATTGGCAGGAAATCTATTAAAGGCCTGTTTCTGGGTCTTCTGTCCTCAGCGGTTTTTGTAATGTATTTTTTTATTGAAAAGACATCCGAAATTGATTTCCTGTTTGAGTTAGGTAATAGTTTGCTCAGTTTTTCACCACCATAGACCTGCTTTTATTTATTCAAGCCAGTCCTGTAGACAGTCTCTTTGTTTGTTTGCTTAGACTAGCATGCAATGTTAAGATTTGTTTTTGTTTTTAAATACTTATTTGTTTGCAGATTTTTTTGAACTATACAACGTTTTTTTGTTTTATTTTATTGTTTTCCTTTTTTTTTCTCTAGGCCACAGTTTAGGGTACGGATTTGTTAACTATCTTAACCCTAGTGATGCAGACAGAGCTATCAGTACACTGAATGGACTAAGGCTACAGTCCAAAACTATCAAGGTAACGTGCAATAAGGTGTTCTACAATTCTCAAACCAAAGATGTCATGTCATTTAACTCTCCTGTGGCTCCTGTGCTGTCCGCTAACTAGCTAGTACATGTCAGCCCGAGGAAGTGATACTGCTTTTACAGCTCACTTACTGCCCTATCTGACATGTCCATTGAGTTTGACTTTAATTTTACTTATTTTATTTGACACATCCTGTCAAATTCAATGTATTTCATGTATTTAATTCCTTAAAAAAGGAGCTTTTCAATCCGTTTTATTTCATTTTTGTTGCTGTAATGTTCTTTTATGCTTTTCATTTTTGTCCAGACTGAAGACTTAATACCTAAAACCACTTAAGATTATTTTATTCAGTTTTCTTTTATAGTCCAAAATTGTTGTTTTTACGAGACAAAAGCTTTCAGATAGATCAGTTGACGATTGTAACTTATAAAACACTCATATGATTGCATTTATTTGGAAAACTCATAGATTTAAGTACTCATTGTACTTTTAATAGTTTTTTTGTTACTTTGTTTTGTACACGTGTATCAGTAGAGTTTTAATCAGGCAGCCGTTGCTTCCTGTTGCTAGGTTTCATATGCACGACCCAGCTCTGATACAATAAAGGATGCCAACCTGTATATCAGCGGCCTGCCAAAGGCCATGACCCAGAAGGATGTTGAAGACATGTTCTCACGTTACGGACGCATCATTAACTCTCGTGTACTTGTTGACCAGGCCACAGGTACGACAGGTGAATGACTTCCTATCTTTTCAAAAATTGTCTTCAGTAACATATAGCGCCTAGTTCTGCTGCATGAATCAGAGTAGGCAGTCACCACCTGCTCTCTCATACCCAGGCGCGTCCCGCGGGGTGGCTTTCATCAGGTTTGACAAGCGGGCCGAGGCAGAGGAGGCTGTCAAAAACCTGAATGGCCAAAAACCACCTGGAGCCTCTGAGCCAATCACAGTGAAGTTTGCCGCCAACCCAAACCAGGTGAAGAACACGCAGCTCATCTCTCAGCTCTACCACAACCAGTCCCGACGCTTCGGCGGGCCCGTACACCACCAGGCACAGCGGTTCAGGTGAGAGAAGTTGTGAATGTTTAGATAGACGGAGTAGGACTTGATCTTGGCGAATTCTTTCCACAAATACTTCTCATTAGCCTTTTTTACCCTGCTTCTTCATGCCGTTGTTTTCATGTTCATTTAGTTTTAGTTTTATTGATGAATCCACATGTACTCTAAACCTCTTCATTTCCAGGTTCTCCCCCATGGGCGTTGATCACATGAGCGGCATGGGAAGCGTCAGTGTCCCCGGGAACTCCACCTCCGGCTGGTGCATCTTCATCTACAACCTGGGCCAGGACGCCGACGAGAGCATCCTCTGGCAGATGTTCGGCCCCTTCGGTGCAGTCACCAACGTCAAGGTGATCCGAGACTTCAACACCAACAAGTGCAAGGGCTTCGGCTTCGTCACCATGACGAACTACGAGGAGGCGGCCATGGCCATCGCCAGCCTGAACGGCTACCGGCTCGGAGACAAGATACTGCAAGTGTCCTTCAAGACCAGCAAGGGCCACAAGTAGAGAGAGCTGGACAATCGGGTGTAGAGGAGAGATGGAAAGAAGCTGCGCCAGGCTTTTATGGCAGAAGTATGAGTTTTCCAAGTCTGGCACATCTGTTTGGGTTTTAGTGTATTCAGAGTTAAATGACATGTTCACTCTCCTGCACCTTTGTACTTGTCTAAAAGAGTGTCTAGGCAGATTTTTTTTTTGTTTGTTCTTTTTTTTTCCATCTTTATACTCATGCTTGGGGCTTGAGGACACTCAGTAGATTTAATTTTTAGTGAGGGGGTGAAGAGGGAAAAATCCCATGATACCGTGATGATAACTTTTTGAAAATAATCTAAAAATCTAAAATACTGTTCATATGTGTTGCATGTATAACTGTGGGGACTAGATATAGGAGGCACGCAAATGGTTCTTAGCAGTGCACTGAAAATACGGAGCACAAGGAAAGCCCTGCAGATTGTTCTCCAAGTGTTGACATTTTGGTGGTTCATTTAATCCGAAGAAGGCGAGGAGGAATACTCTGCTCGTAGCCAGTGGTTGTCATTTCGGAAAAGCAGTGCTCTGTTCTGGATCCTCGTCATAAGTAGATAATAGATGCCTTAAATTATCATCCAGCGGACACACAGACCTACAACACCACTCACTGTCTCGAGTCTAATCTAAGAGCAAAGCACTTTTAATCTGTTTTAGGTTACTCTGAATATCAGTCTTTTTGATGTTAATCTATTGACTTTTGCTCGCCCTGCTATCAGGTTAACAATTTTAAATATGACGAGGTCTGGAGCTAAGTGTATGTTTTGTTATCCCTGTGTAAAGTGTCTTTTTATTATTATTATTATTATAATAAGTTGTATTTCAGGAGAGTCCTGTTGAATATGAACCCCAGTCAATGAGTAGAGAATTAAGATGGACCAAAGGCAGGGAGAGACTTGATTATATTACCACAGAGGAGTTTTCAGAGCAGGTTTAAGGTAAATTTATACCTTAATTTGCGGGTGGATTTTTCTTTTTTTTGAAGAGGTACTAAGGTTATATCTGACGCTAACTGAGAGCAACACTTTGGCTCAGAACACCGTTCTGTTTTGTTTTTTCTTTTCTTTTGATTTAACTTTTTCTTTGTTTGGAACATTTCATTTTCTTTCTAAAAGGCATTTAGGTTTTCATTTGTTACAATGTAAGTTACAAACTTGTTTTAACGAGTGCTTATCTCAAGTTTGGTGAGACATTAATGGCCTTTGTTAATGATTTCAGTTTAGATTTCTTTTCTTCCTTTCTTTTGTTTTGGTTGTTTCGCTTTGAGCATAAAACCATTAAATTTTATTTCTTTTTGCTGAAAGTTTTGTTTGGTTTGTTTCTTTTTTTCCTTTACCCTTTTTTTGTTTAAAGATTTGGTTTGGGGCTTTGTTCTGTTGTTTTTCTAGGAGCAAATTTGCAGTGTAGGTAAAAGATCCCTGGTCTGGCAAAAACAGACTGTTACAAAAAGTGTTTACACTGGAGGCATTTAAACATCTGAGACAGGTTGAAATTAACACAATATACGGACCAGTGTTTGTTAGACAAAAGAATCTGTACACAGACACTCAAAGGAAAGTGATTGTCCTTTGGACATTTCATGAAGCAACTTTTTAAGACGGACAGAAACGTTTAAACACCTTAAGTAACAAAAATAGCAAGTTAAAGCTGGCTCAGTAAATCATTTTTATTCCCGGCTGTATGTCAATGGCGACTCACACACAAAGTGAGGCTAGATTTGTTGTTAAATATTGAAGATTGAGGGTTTTAGACTCATTGCTCTGATCTTTGTCCAATGGGGATTACTTTTGACTAGTGAGGTTTTGTTTGCTTGCGCAGTGGAACACTTCTTATATCATCCGTTTGGAAAACACATCTTATCACATCTTTTTATAGCGGCAAGTTAGTTAAACAGTCCTTTTCTCCAAGGTTTTTGAAAGTTGAAGCATTACTATCGGCACCCTTATTGTCCTTGATTTAACCTGACCACAAATTGAACAGAGAAACCACTTGTTGATGGTTACAAATGTTATAAATACCAAATGATTCTTGGGAACGGTACCTGCTCACACTTGGTAGGATTCGCTTTTATAACCATTTTTCTCCCAGCAAATATTCCCCTCACGCCTAATTTAACACCTCTTTTAATCTGTGCCCCCTCTGAAAGGAGATTTCGGTCTTAAAAGTGCTTTTTTTTTCCATGTTATTTTTGTGTCACAATCCTTAACTTTGTGCAATATTTTGTGACTTGCTCAAAGCAGGTAATAGAAAAGTTGTTGTAGTCTTGGATCTTTTTTTACAATTGCTTTTTTTCTACTGACGTTTTATGTTACTGCTTAGTTTTTTCAGCAGTCTAGTTGGCATTGCATGAGTAATGCAAGTGAATTTGTTTTAGGGGCAGTCAGAATAAACTGCATTCCGCCTTAATTTATACGTTGGAGTGGTGTATTTTACATCAAGAGGAGGCGCAGATATTTATTTGACAATGTATGCGGTCATACTTGTTACTTATTGGAGTGTTTTTAATGGATTATTTTGTTTTCTTGGTTTTAAAGGACACTAAGTTGAAGTCCATTACATGTCTTCTAACATTGGATCGTTTCAATAAAAACATGGTGGCTTTTCAGAATTGAAAGAATGAATGTCTCGTCAGAAGCTTATTGTGAATTTGGTGTCATTTCCTGACAGATGCCAAGTGTATGGACGTTTTATTTATATCATACATGCAACCTTAGTCAGCATTCCTACTATACTGCCAACAAATAAAAACAGAAACGAAGTGAGGGACACATCTTGTAATATAAACTGATCTTACTGTATATGCCCTGTTATTACCTTTATGACCAGATGGGGGAGACATGTCTCCATATTTTGACACCACCATCAACATAGAGTAAATTTTCTGCAGCACCTCAAGTGGCAGTGGTCAGTACTTTCCACTTCCTGTTATAATTCAGTAAGGAGGAATTACTGGCTTCAACTAATAGAAACATAAAATTATATTAAAAAAAAAACTCCCCCCAAATAACTTAAATATGTTTCCCATAATAAAGGTTACCAATAAGATGGCCTGAAAGAAAGGTGAGAATTGAAATAGTTCCACCTAAAGATCTACAGAACCGTGGGACCAATTTGGAGTTCACACTTCGACCTGGACACAGGAGGAGCTGGGCACTGATCCTCCAATGCTGCTGTTAGTGGATGACACATGCTACGTGCTGAACCACAGCCACACGGTGATCCTGCATTTTGTGAGCTGGACATTTCAAACTGTCTGGTATATATGAACCCTGAATATATGGAGTGAAACTTGGAATATACAGAATGAAAGTTTGAATACACTGTTCAAAAATTAAGGGAACACTTAATGGTCACAGTAAAGCACCGAGTCTATTAAACTTGAGAGATATGAACGTGTCCATTCAGGAAGCACAAGTGATTGTGAATCAGTTTCAGTTGCTTTGGTGCCAATCAAAGTGACAACAGGTGCAATGGAGAGGCAAAAGCAAGACAAGCCTCAATGTGGAGGCCATAGACAGTTGCTCTCTCCTTATCCTTCCTGTCTGACTCTTCTCTGGCTTTGTGTCCTTGTCACTACTGGTAGCATGAGGTGGTACCTGCAGCCCAGTCAGGTTGCACAGGTATTCCAGCCCCTCCAGGATGGCACATCCATAGGTGTGGTTGTGATTAGGTTTGCTTTGTCTCCCAGCACAGTGTCAAGAGCATAGAGGAAATACCAGGAGACTGGCCATTACAGGAGAAGAGCTGGACGGGGCTGTAGAAGGGCATCAACCCAGCAGCAGGACCGGTATCTACTCCTTTGTGTGAGGAGGAACAGGAGGAGCACTGCCAGAGCCCTACACAATGACCTCCAGCAGGCTACTGGTGTGCATGTTTCTGACCAAACTGTCAGAAACACACTCTATGAGGGTGGCATGAGGGCCTCATGAGGGCCGCATGAGGGACATCCTCCAGGTGGACCTGTGCTCACAGCCCAGCAGCTCAACTGGCATTCACCAGAGAGCACCAGAATTGGCAGGTCCGCCACTGGCGCCCTGTTCCCTTTACAGATGAGAGCAGGTTCACACTGAGCACATGTGACAGGCGTGAAAGAGTCTGGAGATGTTGTGGTGAACGTTATGCTGCCTGTAACATCATCCAGTATGACCGGTTTGGAAGTGGGTCAGTGATGGTCTGGGTAGGCATATCGTTGGATGAAATCCTCAAAGTGACTGTCAGATCTTACGCTGGTGTAGTGGGCCCTGGGTTCCTCCTGGTGCAGTGGGCCCTGGGTTCCTCCTGGTGTAGGACAATGCCCGGCCTCATGTGGCCAGAGTGTGTAGGCAGTTCCTGGACGATGAAGGTATTGATGCCATCGACTGGCCCTCTTGTTCCCCTGGCATAAAATCAATTGAGCACCTACGGGACATTATGTATTGGTGCATCTGACACCGCCACTGATGCCCTAATCCAGGTCTGGGAGGAGATCCCCCAGGACACCATCAGCCGACTCATCAGGAGCATGCCCAGATGTTGTCAGGAGTGCATACAGGTACACGGGGGCCACACACACTGAGTCACATTATGAGTTGGGAGTTGGATCAGCCTGTGATTTCAATTTTCTACTTTGATGTTCTGTGTGATTTTGAATCCAGCCCTCAGTGGGTTGATGATTTTGGTTTCCACTGACCGTTGTTGAAACATTTTGTTCTCAACAAATTACACAATGTACATCAGTAAAGGTTTTCAACTTGAATAACTTGTTTATCATGATCTGATGTGTGATTTGGTGTGTTCCCTTAATTTTTTTGAGCAGTGCATATAGAATGAAAGTTTGAATATATGGAATAAAACCATGAATGTATTTATTATGGATGATCTTAAGTATATTTACTGTCACAGCTTAATAGCTTTACGTAAAAGAGCTAAATGGTTGAAGTTAGCTGAGCTACTGCGCAATCTTTTTACATACCCCATTGTAAAAACAGAAGTACAGCCTTGGATACACAGACCTCACTGATCTAACATAAAACAGGACCATAAAGTTTTAAAAACATTTTTTGCTGAATTAAGTTTCAAATAAACCACTCACTGACAGGACTCAGAGTACAGCAGATTTTTTTTTATTAGAAAACAAGACAAAATTTAAACGACCGGTATAAAAACACAAATGTTCATCTAATTAGAATAGTGTACATATTTCTATAAATGCTGCTTTAATATCTATTCATAAATAGCTTATCTAACATAAAGGTTCACTTCAACAATATAATTGTGCTCGTCAGTCAGTTTTTGTTTACTTTCAAGTCATTCAAGTTTTATCGTCAAAACTGAGATTGTGTTAAGGCAACTCAAAACCTTGATCAAACTTCATGAGGACAGGCCTACTGTGAGTGTCTAACTGTCACCGCTGACTGATGAGTGCTAATCTCCATCTAATGCATGTCATCGCAACACATGATCGTGTCAGCAGATGCATTTAAAGTGTCTGTTTGGGATTTAGGTTACATGTGAAACTTCTGGAGCATCTCCCCACAGTCCAAACTGAATGAAGACATGCAGAATATCAAGTAATGAAGGTTTGTTTGTTTTCAGCATGGCACAGGCAAAATCCATTCAAGCCGCTAAACCCTGAAACCACAGTGCACTCAAACTTTGTTCTCCTTTAGAACAGAAACCTAACAGGATTTTGATGGTGATGGTCCCTTCGATCCAAAGAGGTGAATCTATGTGCTGTAGAAGGCATCATCCTTTGCTGTCCATCCTGTGAAAGTCTCTCAGACTTGGCAGAGGCTGTAGCAGGTCATAGGTTTCTCCAGCACGTTGTCTCCGTCCACTTCAAACACATAGTCACAGCGGTGTGCGATCAGAGGAACGTCTGACAACGCCACACTCTGGTTACCAAATGAGATGACTGTGTCTCTCTGTAGGGAAGAAGCCACCAACAGGACAGTTAGTTAAGATGTAAAAGTAGTAGAAAAAATATGTTCTTTAACCTTGATATGATACACCGTCGGTTGCCGTTATAGTTTAGTGATGCTCTGCAGCATCAGGGGGAAACAAGGCGGGACAAGAATGAAAGCTAAGGCGGTGAAAGTCCAAGTTGGGTGGATGAGTCCAACAAACACAGCTTTCACCCGGGAGAGTGGTGCTCGTGTCCTGTAAGATTATACAGCCAGACCCTGTTCTTTTTTTGCTAAACCCGACCACGCAAAAAAAAAAAAAAAAAACATCAATTCACTATACGCAAATTGTTGCACTGACGTAGTACGTTTATTTTGAAAGAGACTGTTTGTAAAGTTAAATTTACTGTGAAAACGGAAGTGTATTTTGAAAGGAGACAATGCACATAACAGGCAGAACTTGACACGGCGTCCCAGAACATCAACAACAAATGCACCCAGGTTACCTTCGTCGTATCTGGACGTGACCAAACGTCGATATGTGATGAGGTCGTAGTGAGAACGTGTTGCTTGAAGCATCAGTGGATGCAATTTTTGAGCGCCACAACCTCTGTGAAATGACTTGTTTTACAACTGGAATTTGATCTATGTGGTCTGATAACATTTTGACAGTCTAGAGGAGCCAGATGACAAAATAATTTTATCCCCTTTCAAGCTAGCAAAGGGCTGAACGAGAAGTTAGCTTCTTTGCCAGCGAAGTTTCTAGTGAGCTTGGTCTATGGTCAACAAGGTGGAAGATCTGGGTAATATTATAACTTTGAACTTCACGTGCTACTGAGCAGCTTTTATAAGAATGAACGGGGCCTCGCCTCCAATGCTTTATCCAATTCTTTTTATACATCCATCATCTAGCACCATTGTCAGATCTAAATTTGTGTTTGACCTTGCTTTATCACCAAATACCCTAAAAAATGATGATATTCTCATCACCCTCAGCTGCAAATGTTAGCATGCTAACATGCTAAACTAAAATGGTGAACATGGTTAACATTAAACCTGCTCACGTCAACATGTTAGCTATGTCACTGTGAGCGCGTTAGCATGGTCACAATAGCATTTAGCTCTAAGCTCTGTTGTGCCCAAATACAGCCTCATAGAGCCGCACTCAAAGTTGCAGACTCCAAGACTTGTTTTGCCAAAATTCTAATTTGATAGTTGCTTTTAATATTTAATGTCAAATACTGCTAAATTGTGCACGTGCATGTCAACCTCAGCAAACAGAAATTGTCCTTTTACCCGGTTTGGGCCACCTCCATTATTGGCAGCAGTAGTGGTAGCACTGGCTTCAGTGGCTGCTTTCTCAAAGTCCTTCTTACATAAATGAGCCATGATCCCGGCAGCTAAGGCATCACCAAGAACGTTGATCATCGTCCGGAACCGATCACTGAGAATGGGAGGAGAAAAATAATTTACACAATGCTGCAGCAGCCCCGCTTATGCTTTATGTCGTACAGTCATTTTTGTGAGACTCACAGAACCCAATCAATGGCCACAATCAGCGAGATGTCAGCAGGCGGCAACCCCACAGAGGTCAGGACAATCACCATGGTAACCAGGCCTGCTTGAGGTATTCCAGCTGCCCCGATGCTGGCCGCTGTTGCCGTAATACTGATGAGACAAGAGCCGCGATGTTAGAGGTGTAAAATGAACTGGTTGTTAACACAAAGAACTCAGT